GTCCACTTACTGAGCAAAACCAGTAGATAGTAATTTAAATATAAAATGGATTTGATTTTATTTTTTTCAAGACAGGTTTCTCTGTAGTTTTTGGAGCCTGGTCTGGAACTCACCCTGTAGACAGGGCTGACCTCAAATTCACAGAGTTCTGCCTGCCTCTGCTTCCCAAGTGTTAGGATTAAAGGCGTGTGATTTAATTTTTAGCTTGGAAGGGACATCAAAACAAAATACTACAGACTGGGTGGGACAAGTAAAGAAAAAATATTCCCTTAGTGCCGGAAGCGCAAATCTCAAGATGAAGATGTCAGCAGGGTGGGTTTCTCTTGAGGTTGCTGTTCTTGGGTTAATGATGGACCCTTCTCACTGGACGTCCTCTCTGTCTGCTCGTCCCTGGAGTGTCTTATGAGGTTACCAGTGAGAATGGATTAAGGCCACGGTAGTGGCTTGCCTTCACCTCTTTAAAAGTCCTGCCCCTAGATGTAGCCAGTTGTAAGGCACAGAGGGGTTAGGGCTTCACGACTTAGTTTCTAGGATGCACAGGATGTGAGTGAGTGAGGGTGCCTGCTATGAAATCATACCACACTGGACAACTTGGAGATCAATGGCCTGGAGGATAAGAGTCAAGAACAGTAGGTGTGGGGCCTGTAGGCCACGGATCATAGCTTGCAGCCTGGCTGCCCGCATAGCTGGCAAAGCCCTTTATGTCTCAGCTCCCTGGGTTATCTGCTTCTTGTGTGACCCGGAGCCACACGGTCTGTAGTCTCCACAGTGATATTCCTTCGCTAGGGAACCAGATAAAACAGTTCATGCAGAGTGTTCCCCACAACTGGAACACAGGTTTGCGGAGGTTATTTTGTACCTTGTAGCACAAGTGAATGTCTGATAATGTAGCCTGATTTTAGATTATAACTCCCATATTTCTGGTATCTTTGGTATGTAACCTCATGCATCGGAATGGTGTGATTAGTTCACATTGTCTTTGCCTGAAGGTGGGAATACACCCAAAGCAGGCAAGTCTCTGGCAGTGTCTTGTTCAGAGCCCCAGCGAAGGGAAAGCTTAGCAAAAGGGGCTACCAAGATGGTCCAACAAATAAAGGCATTTACCACACAGGCCTGCCTGGTGACCCAAGATCTATCCTAGAAGCCGTAGAAAGGTAGAAGGAAAGAACTCGATAGAACTGTCCTCAGCCCTCTACAGGGTGCACACGCTCCCATCCCCAACACACACATAAACATTTCCTTTTAAAGAAGCAAAGCCAGTTTTCAGGCCTGTGTTGGTAAGAGCACGGGGGAGCAGTTTGATAGAATCATCCAGAGTCCAGACTGGTTGTGTATAAAACAATCGACTGGAATCGAATCATCCTACCTAGATCTGTTTCTACTTCAATAAGATGGGGATGATAATATTTCGAGTTAACACCATGAGCCACTCAGTGCAAGTGCTTGGCATGTACTAATCTGTATTATGTTCAATTAAAAAATATGAAAATATTGCTATAATGCTTTTCAAATGGATAGTAACAGCTCCCGTTGGTAGCTGTGGAGACATGGATGAGCTGGCTAGTCAGATAGCAGGATATTCCGCTCCCCCGCCCCCCGCCGCACTGAGGCCATGGGATGGCTTCCTTCTTTTATCCAGATTTGAAGTGTTTTGTTGGTGACTGACACAGTATGACCCTGTTTCCATCATGTTTGTTGTGGGAGGAAGATGGACCCTTCCAGGCAATCTGTACAGTCTCTTCCCTCGCTCCCTTTGTGAGGGCACTGGTTCACGTGTGTGGAAGTCCTTAGGGGCTGCCCAGTACCACGCCTGCAGTTCTGCCTTGTTTCTAATGGAGTCTCATCTCTTTGTCAGCCAGTCTGCATGGCTTTGACGAGCTCATGGATGACCAGTGTTCTGTCCAAACGGAATCGGCCAGGTAAGGAGGCACTTGGCCTGGAGGACCAGATCTCATAGGGCTGCCTGCTACCAGTGCTCACAGAACAGCACATTTTTAAACAGAGCCTCTGGTGGGAGAAGGCGGGGGAGGAGGCTGGGTGGGTGCTGCCTTACTAGGAGCGAGCTTCAGATAGGACAATTCTTCCTTGTGTGGGACTCTAGATGATGCTGGGTGTCTGGCAGTCCCACCCACACCTCAGTGCCAGCCAGACTCCCAACCATTGGACAGCCCCAGTCCCCTCCTCTCCCATTTCTGCCGATATCAGGGGATTCTGCTGCCTCGCCCCCAGGATGACTAAGTGCATACAGAGCTTTTGTTGGAAGCATCAAAGCTGCCGCCCAAGCACTCTGGATCCTGCTGAAATAGGGATTCCTTGCCCTTTCTGTTCTGGTCTAAGACCAGTGGGATAAGAAAAGACGTCACTTATAGACAGTGGAAAAGCAGAGCTTCTGAGGACCAAATTCTAGGGTGGGCTTTGGGTTGTCTAGTCAACTACCTTCCTGCCTGATCCTAGATGTCTTCACGTTAACCTATATCTGTTATCCCTTGGAGATGGGGAAGGTCTTCTGAGGTCCAACTGGAGGACATAGGAAACACCTTAGGCAGGCAGCAAGTCCTCTGGCATTGTGGATTGGCAGGACATGGTGGGAAGGGAGCTAGTGGCGGCCATTGTTTACTTATCCGGAGGGACATTCTGCAAGGGTCTCATTGGTCATGCTTTGCTATGAGCACAGTGGCTGGCCCTGGACTTGGTGGGGGGAGGTAGGAACAGGTTTGAGAACAGCTTAACCATCTCCTCCTTTTCCAGTGATAGCTGGCTGTCTCGGGCTGTAACCTTTCTAGACCGGCTTTTGATATGGCTCAGGGTCCGCAGGGCCTAGCCCTCCGGAGATCTCTCCTGACTACAGTGCTGCGCTCCTCACTGCGAATCTTGTACAATGTAAGCCTATTTTCTCAGGCTTGTGCCTTATCCTCCCAGCAAATGTGTCTGCCTCGTTCTTCCAGTATTGCCACTGGGTGTCACATCGGCTCTGTTGGTGGGTGAGAAGGGAGCCCAGTTGACAGCCCTGGGGTAGCTGCTCAGTTCCAAGCCCAGTAGGGCAGTGCCACTTGAACCCTTTCAGGTGGATGCCTCCTGTGGACAAAAGACCCTCAACTTCTCCAGCGTGGCTGGTTCCACAGGTGCACAGCATGCCTGGGAGAACCACCTGCTTGCCTGTTACCTCAAGGCCTTATGGGATGCTCAGAGAACATCCTCGGCAATGTTCACAGCTGTCATGGTTCACTTACCTCATAGACCACCTGGTATTATTTCTTCCCTTTCTGCCCTTCCAAAAGCCTCTCCGTGGTCCCATTACCAATCTGCATTCCCGAGCACTTGGGACTTTATTACTAAAGATCTTCCTGTTGCTGTCCCATGAGGCCATCAGCTAGTGTCTCCGTGGGCCACCAGTACACTTCTGGGGTTCATCAGGAATGAACACACAGGTACTCTTGGTGCCTTTGGTATTTAACAACTCCCAGAATTGCCTCTCTAGTCACCTTGACGTATAAATGCTTCTGTGTCCGCAGCTACAGTTGGCCATCTACAACTGGGCATTCCTGCGAAGTGCTTTAAAGGCTTCTGTGGCTCTGCCCTGTTAATTGGATCTGCTAGGCCCACGGGTGGTTCTCTGGGTTGCAGGCACCTCTGTGTTTTGATTAGGGACATTCCTGTTACCAAGTATCTGGTAGCCTTGTAGCCTGGGCAAAAGTTCTAGAGCAGAGATGGATGGGGTTGAGGCATCAGGAGCCACTAGGACCTTAAGCCTGAGCTCTCCCCTTGGCTCCTAGTCTACCCCAGTACCTCTCTGGTGGTGGTCCTTGGAGTGGCTAAAACAAAAGCATGCCACAAATACTCCAGGATTCCTATGTCCCAGTGAGGTATACATAGTCCTTTGTCTTTCAGTTACAGTGCCTAGAAAGAACACTGGGCTCAGGGAATGGAGCCTTTATCTGCCTTGGGCTCTTCCCATGGTGGAGGCTTTCGGTGCTCGGGGTCCACTCAGGGTTGTACCTACGGCCACAGTGGGAGCAGATTGGACCCTGGGCAATTGATCCTCACAGGGATGGGTAGGAGGAAATATGGGCGGACCTTGCCTCTCCTTGTACTGCATGGTAAGCCTGCAGTGGGCAGCACGTATTCACAAGAGAGTGTGGTCAGTTTTCCCACCTTGGGACAGGTTCTGGCTCTTTAGCCTTGCCTGCACATGAGGAACTAAGCGCTGACAAGACAGTGTTCCAGACCTGCTGAGGCCCTTGCAGCAGACATTCCTAGTGCAGCAGCAGCTTCTGGTTCCCAAGCGCCTTACGCTGTCACTCATCCAGAGACAGGAAACGGCTGTTTCAGCCACGCTTTCCTATTTAGATGTGTTGGCACGGCTCATGCCCCAGCAAGGCAAGCAGAATTCCTTTGCCCAGCTATGTCCCACAGCCCTGAAGTCTGAAACCACTTGGTTCAGAAGTGACACACACACAGGCCACCCCTGAAGAGACAAGGTTTCTTTGGTGGTTAATCTGCTTGGGTTTTAAGTTATTGGCCAGAATCACTGGTTGAGAGTGACCACCTCATGACATGTTTCTCCCAGTCCCCCAAAGGAGTCTGGCAGGCAACTTTGAGCCTAGGTTCTATTTTGGGTATACATCCATGTAGAATGATCTTGCTGATGGCTTTCTCTGCCCTTGACTTGTGTTCTGCCATCTTCTCTGGAATACCCAGGCTGTGAGCCAGGGTACAAGCAATAATTAAATCAGCTTGCCCCATCAAATCAGCAAGGTGCCCACTGTCTGACCATATGGCTCGAGGCAGCATTGCTTCAAGCTTTCTCAGTGTCATTCACAACTCAGATGGGAATGTTCTTAACAGGAAGCCAAGGGGGGGCAGAATGGCTTCATGGGACAGCCCTTACACCGCCCCAGCGACGATCACGGCTGAAGTCAAGGCAGGCTTCCCAGCCATCCCATAGTACTCACAAGCAGTGTGCCAGCTCCAGGGGAAATGAATAAGGCAGTCAGTTCAAGTATCTTTGTACTCATTCATTTAATAAACATGGGGTCAGGAGCAGGAGGACACCCGAAGCGAACATCCTTGGTAACGTGTCTAGAGGTTCAACTTTGATTCAACCAAACCCCAAGAGAGTTCAGGGGGAACGCCAACCCTCACTCACACCTGGGCTCCAGTTCAGCACCATCTCAGACTGTGTGACCAAGTGGGGAAGAGCACGGGTCTTGGAGACAAGGCTCCCTCCTCATCTCTACAGCTGTGATACCTTGGCTTGTCTCTCCCCCACATGAAGAATCTTTGGGTGGCTTGGCCTCAGGTCTCAAGCTGTTTGGAGTGGGATTCCAGGTGAGTGACTGACCCGTGAGGTGATTCCTAAACTCCACCAGAGGTGGGAAGAGCAACACAAGAACTAGGGGATGGCCCAGGGGAGGAGCCTGTCCACGGTGTTCACAGTTGGTAAGTGGGATTGAGTTAAGTCTGTAGTAACAGTGCTGAATTCTGACACTATTTTTTGTTTTGTTTTTGAGACAGAGTCTCACTATGTAGCTCTGACTGTCCTGGAACTTGCTCTGTAGACCGGGCTGGCCTTGAACTCACAGAGATCTGCCTGCCTCTGCTTTGAATGCTGTGATTAAAGGTGTATGCCACCAGTGCCTGGTGACAGTAGTTTTAAGAAAGAAAAACTATACATTTACCAGGAAGCCTTTTCATTTGATTAGTGAGTTAAATAACACAGTTTTAAATCATATACCTAACAACTATCTGAACACTAAGTGTGCACAGACATATACCACGAGGTAGTTTAAATCACCACTGAAAGCTAGTACTTCCTCTGCCTCACCGAGTGGTTGTCACTGGTGCGTGATGACAGTTTAAAGTTGGTATCTGAATAAAAACAACTCAGGAAATTTCTCAGCAGAACTGAACCATTATGGGCAATGGTATGAAAACTAGGCTATGGCTGCTTTAAATGAGCAGCTCCAGTTCTGTGTCCTGAAATGCTAGAGGGCTTGTCTAGACAACTCCCTAAGTCATCTCAATAGGTGCTTCTTTATTTTTATTTTCTTGGATTTTCACAATTCACTCTGTAGACCAGGCCGGCCTCGAACTCAAGAGATCTGTCTTCCAAGTGCTGAGTTTAGAGGCGTGCACCACCATGCCCAGCAGCTCTGCTGTCTGATTTACTTTACACTGGACTTCTGTGGTAGAACTGTTAGAATCTATGTACACATTTGAAACATCATTCCTTTCTAAGGTCTCCATCGTTCATCTGTGGGAAGTGCCTGACCTCATAGGACCTGCACTTCACATCCCACAGAGCAAGAAAGCGCAGCCAGTTCACACGACACGGGAAAAGCAACATCTATTGTTCTTAGAGTCTGACTCTTCTCGCGGCAAGGAAAGTCTCTTCATAGTGCTGCTCTGCTGACGGGAATGGCTGTTAGGCCAGGGCCGGGAAGTCCTCAGGGTCATCCGGGTTGGGAGCGACATCTTGGGTCTAAAGAAAAGAGAGGTTTTTAATTGACGGCCCTTCCCGCACCCAGCTGTGGCCAGCACTAGACCACTTACTGTGTGACACAGGCAGCCACCCCATTCCTACCCCTGCCAGCCCAGGGAGAAACCAATGGAGCCACAGTGGAAGGCACAGTGGCCTTAGGGCCACCATCAGGAGCTGTCTCCTTTTTGCCTTCTGGATCTAACACTTTCTTGTCCCAATATGTAACTGTTTAGGGCTGTAGAGTTGGCTCAGTGGTTAAGAACATTGGCTGCTCTTCCAGAGGGCCAGGGTTTGATCCCTAGCATTCACATGGTAACTCACAGCCATCTGGATCCAATGCCCTCTTCCGGCCTCCAAGGGCACCGAACATACATAAAATAAACTTAAAAAGTAACCATTTACTACAGGCTAGGTACCTAAGGTAAGCAAGAATGAATTCACAGTTTCCCACACAGAGCTCAAGTTTCAGGGAGAGACATGAAGTTGGGAACTTAAGTCACAGGTAGGGGTCCAGTGTCACAGCAGCAAGGTTTTCTGAAGAGTCTGATATGAGCCTCAGCATAGGAGCAGGGGACAGATGTGACACCTGGGGCCACACTGAAGCGTATGTTGCTCAACAGAAGTGGCCATTACTGTTCAAAGAATACATCTGTTTTTACTTCAAATGTATACGTAAAAAGGTCTTGTCTTTGTGTTTGTGAATAAGGGCTACGGTCCCTTATTCCCAGCACGGGAGAGGAGGGCGGCAGAAGGACGGGTTCTGACACCAGACTGGGCTGGGAGATGTTGCTCCCATCCACAGGAGGCAGCAGCACTGATGGGTAATCGGCAGTAGGGGACACAGCAGGAAGAAATGGTTCAGGAGGGGAAGCCTTTGCTCAGAGACCTCGACTGTAGGAGGGTGCTGTGGACAAGAATGCTTTAGAGCTGGGGATCTACGCGAGATTGGCAGGTGGAAACAGAGAGGCGCATAGTCGAGGATCTGGGGTGTGGCCTGCTGCAGCTGAGCACGGTGAGGCAGGGGGGCAGCTGGTCACAAAAGGCCATCAGGACTTACCACCACTTCTGCTCTGGGGCCATAGTTCTCTGTTCTTCTGATCCTTCCTCGGCCTCCTCGGGCACTGCCTCTGGCTCCCCGTCCAGGGCGAGGGAGGTTACCGAAGTTAATCTCCAGCTGGGATGTGATATCATTGGCAGCTTTCCGAAAGACATGGGACTCATCCTCACAGTCGTCCTTCACCATCTGGAACACAGCCACAGGTCAGACGGTCACACGCATGGCCATCTCCACAGCTGGGTCCTAGTAATGAACATTTTTAATATGTTGCACTGGTGGCCTGTGTGGCGCTGTGGACTTGGAAAACCCTGGCTGTGTCCTAGCCCTGACAACTGGGCTAGACACTAGACACTGGTCTAATATAAGCAAAACTACCCAGGCTGCTCTCCTCCTGCCTTCAGCCTCCCAAGTGCTGGGAATATAGGCATGGGGTCCTAGTTAGTCTTCAACCAAGCATTTTGAATTTACTATTCAAGTAGAACCAACATCCTGTTGGGTGTAGTGGTTCATGCTTTTAATACCAGCACTCAGGAAATAGGCAGGTGAATCTCTGAGGCCATCCTGGTCTACATAGTGAATTTCAGGACAACATAGTAAGACCCTGTCTTAAAACAAACAAAAAAATAAATAACCCAGTTTGGACACATTAAGATATAAAATTATATTAGCATGTTTCAAGTATATTTTGTTGAGGTTAAAAAGTTTTAATTTCAAGTCAGGTGGTAGTGGTGCACGCCTTTAATCCCAGCACTTGGGAGGCAGAGGTAGGTGGATCTTTCTGAGTTTGAGGCCAGCTTGGTGTCTACAGAGTGAGTTCCAGAACAGCCAAGGATACAAAGAAAAAACCCTGTCTCTAAAAACAAAAACGAAAATTTAATCTCTGCCTCTCTATTCGCTCATAAATATTACACAAATGAAAATATCGCCTTCTAGGAATCGGACCTGACGGAGAGAGCTCTTTCCGTGCAGGTGCACATGCTGCACCCGCGGAGCACAGCGCAGTCTTCCAGCACCACTGCTAGCAGCACAGAGGTATCAAGTCACACAAGACGGGGTTTCTCGGTGTAGCTGTCCTAGGACTCACTTTGGAAACCAGACTGACCCTGAACTCAGAGATCTGTCCGCCTTCAGTGAGCTGGATCAAAGGCCACTATGGCTGGCTTTAGCTCAGGCCAGTTTTAACAGTGGCTCTTCTTAAAATTCCTTGCATTTTAAGAAGCCCAAGTAAGTTCTTCCTTTGATTAAAAAACAAAAAGTGACAATAAGTTTTATGACTTTAACTCATAATCACAGATAACCAAAGCCCCTCAAGTGAAATCTAAACCTCCAGAAGTGAAAACAGGACCAGTGGTCAGATGGACTGGGAAACAGGTCAGTCCCTAAAGCAGTTGTGCAGGCATGAGGACCTGGCGCACATCTGTGATGTGAGCACTGCGGGGTGAAGACGGGACAGCTAGAGCTCACCGGCCAGCAGTCTAGCCAAATTGACAAGCTCCAGGCTCAGTGACAGATCCTGTTCGAAAGAAGAAAAAAAGGTAGGGGCTGGAGGGCGAATGAGGAAGAAACTCGATGTCAACCTCTGGGCTCCACACCATTCTCGTGTGCAAATGCATATGCACACACTCATTCCCACATATGCATACACTGCCCACATATGCACAAAATCAGACTAGAGCTAAACGTTCCTTGTGAATTGCCCAGAAAATGGAAAAGTTTCCTTGGCCTTTTTGGTTCCTTTGGGCTGTTTGTCCTTTAACTTACTAATTAAAAACAGAAGTTTGCAGCTAAGGACCCATGAAGCTAAAAGGGTAAAGGAGAAAACAAGTGGGACTTGAGAGGCAAAGTAATAAGCTGCCTGACTCAGAAATACTTGACTATCAGAGTGTCCTACAAGGAAGTGATTAAGGTCCAAGGCTACCCCATACACAGCAAGTCTGAGGCTTGGGTTCCTCTCTCAGGGCTGATTCTAGCCAAAGTGCTCTTTACTGAGTTGCTTTAAGTTGAACTCTACACACAAACAATACATACTATCCTAGGACTTTTTGGTGGGAGGTCTCTTAAGACACCAAAACCTTCAAGGCTAGCCTGGTCTATAAGAGCTAGTTCCAGGACAGGCTCCAAAGCTATAGAGAAACCCTCTCTCAAAAAACCAAAACCAAAGTAAGTTAGCAACCCCAAGATCTGGCTCGTGTTGCTTTAAGAACAATCCCTGGCTAGACTCAGTCTTGTAGATTAACTAGGACCAAAGACATTACTTTATTAAAACCAAACTAGCCAAGCTCAATGAGTCAGCTAACTTAGTTACATCAAATATTCCGACAGATCTCTCTCTGCAGCCAGGGAATATAAATCGGATGTGGTTTGAGGAACCGGCTCCTATTTTTACCTGTTTCAACAGTACCATGGTTTCACAGGAAGCTTCACTTCTAGTGTTCACAACAGAAAAGAACAACAAAAAGACGTGCTGCCTACGCCAACTCCGGCCTCCCATGTCTCTGATGAAACATCTCAGAACTTATCAGTCAAGTATCTCAGACCTTGAACTGACCGAGAAGGCAGAATGGTTATACTGTGTTCTCAGCAGCCTCCTAAATAAAGTACTCAAGGTAACTGACCAAAGTGCGCATGAAAATTGCTATGACTTTGGTCTCAAAGGACCCATAAATAGAGACCTGTGTACCCTATGGCAGTCCCGGTGGAGGTGAGGCATGGTAAGAGGAAGTGGGTCCTGGGGCTGTGTCCCGGATGGGGACATCATTAGGACTTCAGTCCTTCCTGTCTGTTTCTTGGCCGCAGTGAGGCAAGCATACGGTTTTCTACCATCTGCTTGCATCTTTGGGCCACACGACCTGAGGCTGAATTAAAACTTTTCTCATTGTAAGTGATCTCAGGCATTTTGTTACAACACCGGAAATCTGACTAACAGAAACAGAAAACTACACAGCGTTCTGTACTGACTGGAAGTCAACGAGTCTCCCCAGCAGGGAAGATGATTGCTCATCACCACAGACTGTGCTGGCTTGTGCTGTGACAACAGGAATTCTAAATTCTGCACCTGGGTGCTCCAGTAACAAAGGAGAATGTCATTATAAACTGCTATTTCCCTGCAGCATCTCTGTCCTTCTGGTAGAAAGCCCAGTGCTGGGCTGGGAGATACAGCCACGGTGGTGAAATGCTTGCACAAAGCATGAGGACTTGAGTGGATCCCAGCGCTCATGAAAAGCTGAGCATGGCAGCACACATCTGTAACCCCAACAGCGGGGCACAGACAGGATTCTTGGAGCTTGTTAGCCAGTCTACTTGAATTGGTGAGTCCCAGGTTCACTGAGACACCTTGTCTCAAAACATAAAAGTGAAGAGTGACAGACATATGTACAAGTATGTACACACACACACACACACACACACACACAGGGACAGACGGAGCTAGACAGGAACCCTGAAGACTAAGCCTACACAACACAGTTCGTAATAATGCCCTCAGTACAGTTGGTTGCAGCATCGTACCTGACAGTGCCATCAGTGATCTAGGAACTTCCCAGCAGTTTCTAGAGTTAGACAGAGGAGGCAGTGCTGTTCAAATACCATAATGAAGGGATCCCAGAATATAGGTGCTGTGGATATCTTTCTGTACACTGTGAGTATGTGTTCTCACTGGCTGGCTTATAAATAAGACAGAGCCAGACGGAAAATCCAAGCAGAGATACAGGAGAAGAAGGGCAGAGTCTTGGAAATGACAGCCAGCCAGCAACAAAGAGAGCAAGACATGTAGAAAATGAGGTAACAAGCCACGAACCATGTGGTAAAGCATAGATAAGAAATACCGGGTAATTTAAATGTTAAGAGCTAGCTAGTAAGAAGGCTTAGCCATCAGCCAAGCATTTATAAGTAATAGTAAGCCTCTGAGTATTTTAAAAGCAGCTGCAGTACTAGGAAGAACAGAAAAAAAGCCTCTGTTTACATATAGGTTCCCTGGTATTGGTTCAACTCATCAACTGACCCAGTGGAATGCTCATCATCGAAGAGGAGTGTGGTGGTGCATACCTTAGCCCTGGCCCTCAGCACACCGAAACATGGCTGGATGGAGAGTTTGGGGCCAGACCAGGCTACATACTAAGACTTTCTCATCCCCAGGCAATCTAATCATCAAAATAGTAGCCTTTGAAACAGCTGCTCTGTGCCTCCAAGAGGCCAAGGGGGACGGAACCCTTGGCCCTGTGTCTTCCTGGCTTACATTCAAGGCCAGCAGAGAATGTGCAGTATTCTTCTGTCAACACACCAAGTTCTATTCCCTTCCACCACCCTTGATGATGCTTGACCAGAAACAAGAATGTCAAGTGTGATACTAGCAAGATGACTAAGTGGGTACCAAACCTCCGGCCTCCACATGCACACTCCCACACACAAGATTCTGTTTTCACATCCACTGAGAGAGGGCCATTTTGTGCCTGATGAGGGCTACAGTACATATTCCCCCAAGACAGAAGGCTTACATCGTCTCTGTATCTGGACTTGTGAATCACCACTGCCTTGGAAGGAACTGTGGACTCTGGCTTCCGGATGTTGAACTCAGGCTTCGGTCTGGTTTGCTCTTGAAGGTTTTTCCACTCATCTAAGGTCATCTCTTGGACTTGATTTTCCTCTTCTACCTCCAACTCAGGAACTCTGTAAAGGTATATTATCATAACAATATTTTTTGCTGATGGAACCAAATATCTACAAAAAAGTTAAACTTTTGTAGCACCTTATTATAAGTGTAATAAGGTGAAAAGTAACCAGACCCTCAGAGTCACATCTGAGTTCTATCTTCCCCATCCTTTCCTTCACTGCAAACTCAAGGTACCTTCACAGTGGTGTGTGAAAATGACATCATCACCCCATGTTCTTCCCATCAATTACACCATCGTGCACCTTTTCTGGGGGGGGGGATAATTGGGGAAAAAAATAAGAGATGTTGTGGACACAAAGTCACGGAAACCATGGACAGAAGTCTTAAAACAATGGGTCACAAATGTACACTTTTATAAATACCCCCTTCAGTTGGTTCAGACTCTCTCCAGGCCCATGCTCCAAACCCTTTTTAGACCTCTTCCTCATTATGCCAAAACTATTTCTGATCACATTATAAGTTTAGGCTTTCTTGTGACCTCATTATATCTTCATGCTTATTTCCACATTTGTCGGATGACTTCATCATGAGAACCTGTTCAAAATCATTCATGTTTTACCCTCTTGTATAACTCAGTTTTGAGTAAGGTTTTTATTGTAGGTCTTTTTGAAGCACTGTGGGAGGAGCTTAGGGGCTCGCATGTGTTGAGCAAATGTTCTGTCCCCATCCTAGCTAACAGTTGGACTATTTAAAACAGACTAGGAGATGTCTCTCTCTGAAGACCTAAGTCCAAATCCCCAGCACCAGTTCATAGGGATCTTGTGCCCTCGTATGGCTTCCAGAGGAACTGCATTTGCACATATACATGCAGGCAAAATAGACACATTAAAAACCTTTTCAAACGTCCAATATCATTAGTCGTCAGAGAAAGGTGGCAAACCACAAGAAGTTACACCGGTTCACACCTAACAGGACAGCTGGTATCAAAAAGGCATTTAAGGGTTGCAGAGATGGTTCATCAGGGAAAAGCACTGGTGGCTCCTGCAGAAGACCTGGGTTTGGGTCTTAGGATTCACTTGGTGGCTCACAACCAGCCGTAGTTCAAGGGGACCCAGTGCTCTTTTCTGGACCCCACAGGCACCAGGCACTCATAAAAATAGTTCTTTTTTAAGAAGGAAAAAAAAAGGTGTCTTTAAAGGCTTTTAAAAAGTGTTGACAAGGGTGTCAAAAATTGGACCCCAGGTATATATGGTTGGGGAAATGTGTGTCAATTTAGAAAACAGTCTGGCTGGTGTTCAAATTTTACAGTCAGGTGTGGTGGCTCACACCTTTAGTCCCAGCACTAGGGAGGTAAGGAAAGCTGGACCTTTGTGCGTTCAAGGACAGCCTGGTCTATAGAGTGAGTCCCGAGACAGCTGAGGCTACATAGCAAATTCTAAGACAGCCTACATAGATCTTGTCTCAAAAAAAAAATTTTTTTTCTGACAGTTCATATATGACCTAGTAATTGCACACCTGAGAGAAATGAGAACATGCGTCCATATTAGACCACACACACACACACACACACACACACACACACACACACACAAATGTTCACAGCGGCACTACACATAGCACCTCAAACTACAAACTACCAGTGTGTCTATTGTCTGAGGAACAGATAAGCAAAAATAATAAAGGCTGGGCATGGTGGTACATGCCTTTAATCCCATCACTTAGGAGGCAGAGGTAGGTAGATTTACAAGTTTGAGCCCAGTGTGGTCTCCAGAGTTAGTTCCAGGACAGCCAGGGCTGTTACACAGAAAAACAAAAATGAAGCAAAACAAAAGTATTAAGATAGGTCATTAAATGACAGAAATTTGGAAGCATGATGAAGAGTGAAATAACCCAGCGTGTCTTCTCTTTCCTGTGTAAGATTCCACTTATGTGAGGTCTCCAGTGAAGAGGAAAACTCAGAGACCAAAGCAGTCAGGGTAGCAGATGCCCCCGCCCCCATGTCAGAACGCTATGATGAGGAACAATTCAGCTGCTGCCATGAAGGGAAGTATGTAACACATCAGTAAACTGGCCAAACTGGAAGAGTAAGTGTGTGTGTTTTAGGGTGTACCTGCAGGACTTCAAGCTCTTCCATCGAGAAGTTCTAGGCCTGAGAGGTGAACTTGAGGTCCACTGTGGCTTAATGCTTAAAGCCCCAACATCAAATCAGTCAGCCAGAACCATGAGGAGAGAACATCATCGGCAAGGAATGGAATTTTCAAACCATCAAACATGGCACATTGCTATGAGATTTCCATGATTTTGAAGTCTGACGGGGCCAAAGAAACAAGAGCTCCTTGGCCAATGTGGCTACTCTGCTGGGCAGCACTGAATTCCCATGGAGGCTTACATTCTGCCTGTCTGCACAGAGTGGCATGGTGGCCAGCCTCACTTAGCCTCTTCCAGAGTTAATTCATCTTACTTTGTCTAATATTAGGAATGCCACTGTGTCTTAATTTTCTCAATTAGGCCGGGCGGTGGTGGTGCCCACCTTTAATCCCAGCACTCGGGAGGCAGAGATAGGCAGATCTCTGTGAGTTTGAGGCCAGCCTGGTCTACAGAGCGAGTTCCAGGACAGGCTCCGAAGCTACAAAGAAACCCTCTCTCAAAAAACAAAAAACAAAACAAAACAAAACAAAAAATTTCTCAATTAGAATGATAAAGCTTGCTGGCTTTCAACCTCCGTGCACCCAAACACACACAAATGTTTACTCCTCAAATAATGTTTCCCTACATAATTCACTTTCCCAGCTCATAGAAATTATGCGTCTGTTTCTTTAGTTAACACACTGTCTAAATAGGCACATTAACTATGAATCTTATTTTAAAAACACATTCTTAGTTGTTTTGAGCAGTAAGTTCGCAGCTGTCACAACTGTCAGTCACTGTCAATCTTGTAAGAAGCAAAGGTGAGACTGTCAGATATTTACATAGCAACCAAGCTCTGGGCTCCATTCTAGGTGCCCCCTCCCTCTCTCTCCCACTTGTGGAAGTGAACAGAGCTGTGCACACAACAGTCCTCACAACTCCGTGCTGCTTGGCTATGGATTTCCGGAGGGAGAAGGCTGAATGAGTAGTTGTCCAGGAGGTGGCTTTGCCTTGAGAGACAAAACTAGGAAACAGGAGGATCCTACGAGTTCTGTGGCTAGCACCCTGGCTCATTCACAGGGAAAGGAGGCTTAAAGCCTCAGTGTGCTAGGTATGGACCAGAGACCCAGTCTTCATGGAAAGAAAGGAAGACAGAAGAATAAAGGGACAAAAGCAAAACAGAAGAGGTAAGGAGGCAGAGGATACAGTACTAGAATTTAATCTATTCTCACTAAAAAACTATCAGATTACTTAACTAGCTTGATCATTATGCATTAACAAATAAGATCAACCCAGTATGATATGAGAAAGGGCTCAGCTTTTAAAATCATTAAGGAAAGACTAGAGAGATGGCTCAGTGGGTTAAGAATGCTTGCTCCAGCTGAGTATGGGGGTGTGCACCTTTAATCTCAGCGCTAGGGGGGCAGACGAAAGTGAAGCTGTGTGAGCTCAAGGTTAGTCTGGTCTGAATATTGTGTTATAGAACAGCCAGGGCTACACAGAGAGACTCCCGGTCTGAAGGTTGCGCTATAGGACAGCCAGGGCTACACAGAGAGACCCCCGGTCTGAATGTTGCACTATAGGACAGCCAGGGCTACACAGAGAGACCCCCGGTCTGAATGTTGCGCTATAGGACAGCCAGGGCTACACAGAGAGACCCCCGGTCTGAATGTTGCGTTATATAGAACAGCCAGGGCTACACAGAGAGACCCCTGGTCTGAATGTTGTGCTATATAGGACTGCCAGGGCTACACAGAGATCCCCGGTCTGAATGTTGCGTTATGTAGAACAGCCAGGGCTACACAGAGAGATCCCCGGTCTTCTTTGAGAGTACCTGCACTGCAAGCATGAGGACCAGAGTGTGAATGTCTAACACGGGCATGCCTAAAAATCCCAGCAATGTGGAGTGGAGACAGGAGGAGCCTAAGAATTCACTGGCTACCTAGCTTAGCTGAAATAGTGAGCTTTCATTTTGTGAGGGACCCTGTCTCAAGGCAATAAGGGACAAAACCAGAGAGAAAGACACCTAGTACCCTGCTCTGGCCTCCACATTCACACAAGCAACCCCCCCCCACACGTTCACATACACACATGTACACAATGTCCAATCTTCAGAGAGAGAGAGGGAGGATGTACCACTAGGAATCACTACGAGAGATAACCCATAGGTATAAGAAGCAGCTGCCTACTTGGCTGGAGACTCCTCATCCAGGGTGCCTTGGGACTCCTCCATCATTGAGATCTCTTCCATGGGCGCAGGTGGCTCAATGTCACTGAAAAGCAGCAAGAACACCTGTCACACAGTCTGTCATGCTCACCAAAGTCCTCATCTAGTTAAGGCCAAGGAAACACAATGTAGGCCCTGTTTCTTAATGGCATGCCCTTGAAGCGACCATATCCACACTGCAGTGAAAAACAGTAGTAAGGGCTGCTTAAAAATGTGTTATTTCCCACTCAGGAGTAGAGGCAGAAAGATTTCTGTGAGTTCAAGGCCAGCCTGGTCTACAAAGCAAGTTCCAGGACAATCAGGGCTACAAAGAGAAACCCTGCCTTAAAAACAAAGTTATTTCCCAAAATGTTAAACAGAAATGTCCATGACTACTCTAAATTTAAGACCAGATGATAATGATCAGGGGGAAAAATCCAAACTCTTATAATACTGGAGAATCCATCTTTTCATTTTCACTTTTTATATATTTTATTTTTGAGAAAAAGTCTCACTGTGTAGCCCCAAGTGTCTGAGAGCTCCCTATGTAGACCAGGCTACCCTCAAAGTTACATATAAATCTCCCTGCCTCTGCAATGTGCTGGGACAAAAGGGGCTACCAAGCCTGGCAAGAGTTTCAGCTTTTGGGGCTGGAGAGATGGTTCAGTGGTTAAGAGCATTGGCAGCTCTTCCAGAGGTCTTGAGTTCAATTCCCAACAACCACATGGTGGCTCACGGCCATCTATAAGGGGATCTGGCATGCAGGTGTACATGCAGACAGAGCAAATATTCGTAAAGTAAGTAAATCTCAAAAGATGATTTTAAAAAATATTCTACTTTCAACTTTTTTAAAAAGCATATTTTATTTTCTGTGTATGTGTGTTTGTCTGCATGCCTATATGGGTACCGTGTGGGCGCAGTGTCCACCAAAGATAGAAGAGGAATTCAAAACTTCCGAAACTCCCTTATAAGTGCAACAAGTGCTCAATTTGAGACAAGGCTTCATGAACTCCTTATGTTGCTGCAGATAACCTCGAACGTCAGAACCTGGGATTACAGGCATGCACCGCCACTCCCAGTTCATATGGTACTGGGATTACGGGCATGCACCTCCACACCCAGTTCATACAGTGCTGGGAGCAGACTCAGACCTTTCTGCATGCTAAGCAAGTACTCTTTTTTGTTGTTGTTTTGTTTTGTTTTTGAGACAGGGTTTCTCTGTGTAACTTTGGTGCCTATCCTGGAACTAGCTCTTGTAGACCAGGCTGGCCTTGAACTCACAGAGATCAAGGCGTGCGCCTGGTTGAGAGTAGTGTTCTACCGGAGCCACATGTACAGACCCTGCAAAGTATTTTACCAGATAAACAGCTGTAAGAACTTTGGACGCTCACAGGGAAATAAAGTACAGGTCTGAGTGTGATGCGTATGTCTATAACCCCAGCACTTAGAAAGCTGAGGCAGAAGGATTCATGGTAATCTGGGTCAAATAGTGAGATCCTGTCTCAAATATAAAATAATAAAACATATTCTGAGATGTGCAAGTGTGCACACCGTATGCTTAAAATATATGAACATATATGTGGCCATCTGTCAGGTATGGTTCTGTTTGTCAAGTAGAAATTGATGTGGATTGTTGTTTAGGGCGTGTGTGTGTGTGTGTGTGTGTGTGCGCGCGCGCTCTTTGCGCATCTGCAATTGACTGAATCAGGAGAAAGCTTTTAAAAACATAGTTGTTATGTTGTATTTAGACTCAAAACTGTTTTTAAGGTCTATTTGCTTATTTAATTGTTTTATTTATTTGAGACAGAGTCTCACGATGTAGCCCTGGCTGGCCTGGAACTCATTCTATAGACCAGGCTGGTCCAGAATTCGTTGAGATCCTCCTACCTTTACCTCCCAATCCAAAGCATCTGCCACCATACCTGACCCCCTAAAATCTATTATTTTATCTTATTTTAGCTAAGTTAAAAACAGTTTTGAATATAAGCACAACATAATAACTATGTTTTAAAAAGCTTTCTCCTGATTCAGTCAATTGTGCGCACGTGCGCGCGCGCGCGCACACACACACACACACACACACACACATGCACGCACGCGCACATGCTCCAAACAACAATCCACATCAATTTCTACTTGACAAACAGAACCAGAGAGAACACAGTTTTTAAAAAGCCAAGGTTCAGGGACTCTCGCTCCACTGCAGGCTCTCAGAGGACACATCCTTGCACCTTACCTAGTGTCTTTACCTGATCCCCAGGAGCGCACACCGCAGACACCCATGCTGTCCTCCATTCTGTTTGCTCTGAAGAAACAAAGAACAGCCATGTTAACTTGAGGTGGAGCATGTTCCTCATCAGCCTCCCAATCAGAAAGCACTGCCCCAGTGTCTGCAGAGACAATTCTTACAAAGGACCTGAGTTTAACTTCCAGTACCTACATTAGACAGCGACAACTGTCTGTAACTCTGACATCGTCTTCTGGCCTCTACAGGCACGGCACCCTGCATGTCAGAGCCCTCCCCCAAAACATACACACAGATACACATAATCTATAAAATCCTGTCCTACAAGAGTGACAGCACACGTACCAAGCTGGTCACCAACAGACACAAAATCTAAGGTGGAAATGGCACAGTACAGAGCTTACGCTTTATCATTGCTGCTGTATCTCTCAAAGTCTCGTTTCCCTCTTTGGTCAAAGGAATCAAAAGCTCTGTTCCCGGGTCCACCTCGGCCTCTGCTCCTCAGGCCTCCTCTGGGGCCTCCACGTCCTCTCAGTGGCCTGTCTCGATCAAACCTGTCAACTGGTCTAGGAGAAGACAGGAATGATGACAGGTGGTGAACTGGACTTCAAAGGTCTGAAGCCTTTTTGAGAAAAACATACACCTCTAGAAGGCAGCTATGATTATAATGTCAGAAAGCATGGTGGCTTTGACTAAACTAACATTCGCCACTGAACACACTGTACCTGGCACTATACACACAGCATTTTAATGCTCACAGCCAAGTTTAGTATACAGAACTGCTGTAAAGAGATGGGAACCTGAAGCAGCATGGGAAGGGATTTGCCCAAGGTCACATGGGTATCAGGGAGCACAGGTCCTTGTTCTCAACTGGCTTTCACTTGTGAATTCAGTTTCCTCATTTATATACAATGACTGTGTTAGTTAAATGTAAAGGTTCTTTCCTGTCTTGGTATTAAACACTTAATTTGGAATGTTCTGTGTAAGAAAAATGCCTCATCTTTAAAAATTATCCCTCCAAATCTTTCTTCTGAACATTTACCCAGAAGGTGATATTTGGAGCTGAAATCTTTAACATACTGAACTTTCTTCTACTCTGTGACCAAAGACAGGGAAGACTGGTGTTTTTTAAGATTTATTTAATTTAATTTATTTATTTTGTTTTTTGAGACAAGGTTCCACTGTGTAACAGCCTTTGCTGTCCTGAAACTAGCTCTAGACCAGGCTGGCCTCGAACTCACAGAGATCCACTTGCCTCTGTCTCCCAAGTGATGGAATTAAAGGAATGTGTCACCACTGCCCAGTGACTTTATTTTTATTTATGTGTATGCCTGTGTCAATCTATACGTAAGTAAACATCAATGTGTGCCCTTGGGGGCCAGAGCAGGGCATCGGATCCCCTGGAGCTGGAGTTACAGGCAGTTGTGAGCTGCCTGGTACAAAAGTGTGCTGGAAACCAAACTCATTCCTCCGGAAGAACAGCAGGTGCTCTTACCTGCCAAACCTAGTAAATCTATGTTCAGAGGGTTCAATTAAGTTCATTAAGAGGCCTAAGGAAAAACTCCTGCTTCACTGAAAGGGATATTTGCATCCCCGATCCACACACACCAACATGACTGTTCTCTGCTTCTGATCCTGGCTCGGTCAACTCAGCACACAAAAGATGTCGCTTCCAAAGGAAAACACGTGTTCTGCCTGTATAGAGTCAACATCCTTGTCAACTAACTGAGATCAGAGTCACTCCAACTCTAGGTCTCTGTTTTCCATCTGTAAGTTGAAAAGGTTAAGATAACAAAAATTTTATAATTTTGTCTAGTAACGTGTATCAAGAAATTCGAAGTGCACTTTAATTCAAATAAGCAAAACCAACCTGGATTCCAGCCTTTGCAGACTATGCTGTGGGAGATGCCATCCCAGATAAGTGACACAGAGAGCTGGTAGGTAGCTGTGACAGTGGTTTGTCACTGTGGGTCTACAAGCCTCCCCCATCCCAATTTTATCTGTTTTTATACCATCTCTACCCACTTAACTTTGTACTAAAGCAGATATAGGTCGCCTGCCTGAGAGTCACAGCTTTACAACCTCAACTGGCATTCTAATTCCAGGATTCTACTGAGGAAATGCCTGACACAGATCAAAAGCTGCTTCTGCTCCCAAGCGTCATTAAAAAGCCTAATGCTGAGCCAAGCACAGGCCCATTAGCACTGAGCAAGTGGTGACATATGATAACCCAAATAATGGGTCACAATACAATACAGCCATTGAGTACACAATTAACTACTGAGTGTACAGTTAACACACTGTGTGCAGTTAGCACACAACTAAAAACACCAAGCAAACGCTGCTGATCATATAGGAAACCCTCGTGTGTGTCAACAAGAATGAAAGGGTATAGAGCAGTCAGTGTGTGTGCATTACCATTGGTGGTGGTTTGAATGAGAATGGCCCCACAGGGTCATATGTTTGAATGTTTGCTTCTTAGTTGGTGGAACTGTTTGGGAAGGACTAGAGGTGTGGGAAGGATTAGAAGGTGTGGCCTTGTTGAAGGAGGTGTGTCATGCGGGGTGGGCTTTGAGGTTTCAAAAGCTCTCACTAGCCCACTGCTGTCTCTGTTAGCTTGATCTCTACCTCGTGGTTATAGATCAGAGGTGAGCTCTCAGCTACTGCTCCAGAACCATGCCTGCCTGCCGCCATGCTCCCTGGCAGGATGGTTAAAGACTCACCCACTGAAATGTTAAGGCCCTAATTAAATGCTTCCATTTTTCATAAGTTGCCTTGATCATGTTATCTTGTCACAGCAACAGAAAAATAACTAATGGGGCTGGAGAAATGGCATAGCAATTATGAGCCCTGGCTGCTCTTCCAGAGAATCTGGATTCAATTCCCAGCACCCACATGGCAGCTCACAACTGTCTGTAACTCCTGTTCCAGGGAATCAAACATTGTCACACAGACACAGATGCAGGCAAAACACCAATGTACATAAAATACAAATAATAATTTTTTTAAAAGTAAAATTTTTAAAAAAGAAAGAAAAATAACTAAGATACCACTTTACTACCTCAGGAGATTAACAAATAGAAAAATGTTGATTGGTTTTGTGATTTCACATGTGTTTGTTTATTGTGTGTGCCTGAACACACATGTACAACAGTATACATGAGGAGGTCATCGGACAACTGCTAATTCTCATAGTGATTATATCCCTAAGCCCAAAATTAGTTTTCTAATCTAACTTCAGAAGAATTTTTAACCTCTTCAATATACTTTTGTGTGTGTGTGTGTGTGTGTGTGTGTGTGTGTGTGTGTTTTGTTGGTTATTTTTGTTTTGTTTTATAACATGAGGGCTTTTCAGGGGTTGGAGAAATGGTTCAGAGGTTAAGAGTGCTGGCGGTTAAGAGGTCTTCCAAATGACCTGGGTTTGAATGTCCAGCATCCACACGGTGGCTTATAACCATTTGTAATTCTAGTTCTGGGGGATCTGATACCCCTCTGGCCTCCATAAGCACCAGGCACAGATGTGGCACACATACATACACACAGGCGAAGTCCCACAAACATAAATAAGTTTTTTTTAGATGCTTTTTGTATGTACCTTCTGCTCTTTGAGCTTTATGCATGGTAGGCAAATGCTCAACCACTGAGCTGCACCCCAAACCCACAAATTTTTTTTGTTTTTTTGTTTTGTTTTGTTTTTCAAGACAGGGTTTCTCTGCATAGCCCTGGCTAACCTGGAACTCCCTCTGTAGACAAGGCTGGCTTTGAACTCAGAGATCTGCCTGCCTCTGCCTCTCAAGTACTGGGATTAAAGGCATGCACCATCACCTGGCCATAATTAATTTTTAATTGTATAATCATTTCCTATATACTAAGGTATAGGTAAATGGAAGACCCTTCATGTTCTACTGAAGGTAACATGACTAGAGACTTACCTATATACTAAGGTATAGGTAAATGGAAGACCCTTCATGTTCTACTGAAGGTAACATGACTTGAGACTTACCTTGGCAGATCATGCGTAGGACTGCCACCACAGAAATGTCACAAAGCTTAGTAGTTATCTGGAAACCTCTGGGGCCCCGGCCACCCTAACCAAGGACTAAGGTACATACTTTTCATCTGTAAACTTCTCCGATGCCAAGTCTGCCTGTCTCTCAGTGTCATAGAGTCGATATTCCCTGTAGGACCTTCGCTCTGCTCTATCAAGCGCGTCTGTCCCCCGGTTGTCATTCCATCCTTGCTGCTCCCCTCTTCTGGGAGTCCGCTTCTGGCCTACAGGGAACCAAAGCAAAGCTCGAGCACAGCGTCCACAGCACCACGGTGCAGAGGTTTCGCTGGAAAGCGAGGGCTTCAGAGAGAAACAGTTACCACTTCCCAGTGCAGTGTCTGCTAATTATCTATAAAACTCCACCAAGTCCTAGAAATGCCAGGGAACCCATGCCAACTACAGAGTTACAGGATGTTAATATGAAGCCTGGGCCAGCCTTGAACTGATAACCGTCTTGCCTCAGGTGTGCCACCATGCTTGGCTAGTTTGACATTTTTTCAGTGCCTCTGCGACTGCTGTTACGTGTCTTTTACTGGATGGGTGGCATTTCACAAATACACCTTTACCAAGCATAGAGTGATAAAGACTCATCTAAGAAAATTAAAGGATTAAAAACCCTGTACCTCAGACAATACTTTTAGAATCCTGTCCACAGCTGGGCTTGGTGGCCCATGCCTTTAATCCCAGCACTCAGGAGGCAGAGGCAGGTGGATCTCTGAGAGAGTTCCAGGACAGCCAGGACTACACAGAGAAATCATGTCTTAAAAAACGAAACAAAAACAAAACAAAACAAAAAAAAGAATCCTAGCTGCAAACAAACCAAGGGCAACTAGGGTCTATCTTCTGGCATGAAGATAGGTGTTTGTGGTATGCTTAGAACATTGAGAGATATAAATAGAGCTTTTATTGCAAAAATTTACATTACCAAGAAATCAAAATTGGGTGCTGGAGAGATGGCTCAGTGGGCAAAGTGCTTGTTGTGCAAATTATGAGGACCAGAGTTCAGACACCCAGAACCTAGAGAAAAGCCAAGGGTGAGGAAGAATGCCTGTAATACCAACACTGGGGAGGCAGAGAGACGCTTTAGTCAGCTAGTACAGATACACAGTAGAGTTCTGGCTTTATTGAAAGACCATGTCTCAGGCAGTGGTGGCACAGGCCTTTACTCCCAGCACTTGGGAAGAAGGTGGATGGATCTCTGAGTTCAGGGACAGCCTGGTTTACAGAGAGAGTCCCAGGACAGTCAAGGTTACACAGAGAAATCTGGGCTCAGGGAAAAAAAGAAGAGAGAGAGAGAGAGAGAGAGAGAGAGAGAGAGAGAGAGAGAGGGAAAGGAAAGAAAACTATGTCTCTAGGGGGCTGAAGAGATGGCTCAGCTGTTGGGAGCACTAACTGCTCTTCCAGAGGTCCTGGGTTCACTTCCCAGCACCCACATGACAGCTCACAACTGTTGGTAACTCCAGTTTCAAGGGATCTGACACCCTCACACAGACATATATGCAAGCAAAATACCAATGTATATAAAATAAGTCATTAAATTTTTTTAAAGGACCCTGTCTCAAGAAAATAAGGTGAGGGCTGGAGAGATGCCTCAGAGGTTAAGAGCATTAGCTGCTCTTCCAGAGGTCCTGAGTTCAATTCCCAGCAACCACATGGTGGCTCACAGTCATCTGTAACTCGAGTTCTGGGGATCTGACACCCTCTTCTGGCCTCTCTGGGCAATGAAATGCATATACACTGTATATATACACACATGAAGGCAAATATGCCCACACATAAAAAACAAAAAGATCTTTTTAAGAAAAGAACTATTATTTTAATCAGCCTCTGATTTCCCACTTGCCACTCATATTTTTAACTATGTATCTCTGTTCAGCTACAGAATTGCTAAAGTGCTTAGTCTCACTTCTTTCTGCTTCCTCTTAGTTATTTCTAACTGTGTCAATTAAAGTCTCTTCCAGTGTCCCTGTGTATAAACTGAAACTATTAAATGTAATTTATTATAATAATTGAGTACCTTGCAAACATTACCGTTCTATAAAATCCCAAAACAAAGAAAACCAGAGAGATTTTTGTTCCCCCACAACTTGGTGCTAGGAGATCCAGATGCAACTGGACCTAGCTTGTTTCTCTGTGCTGAATCAGCAGGGCATTCAGATGCCCTTTCAATAAGGAGCTGGCTCATATGGTCTGATCACTTACCTAAACCAAAACCCATGAGGTAAACAGAATACAGCAAAATCTACAATAAGACTTCCTATAAGACAAAACTGAATGTGGGCTTATCAACCAGAACCCTGAAAGTCTATGAAAACAAGAACAGAACAACCGATGATTTAAGAATGAATTGATTGAACAAGGCTCATCCAAGGGTTATCATTAGACAGACAAGAACACTAGAAATCTGTATTTCCATGGGGAAAAAAAAATGACTTCTACATCACTGTCGAGATCAGCAACTGTTCTGTTACACAGCAAATGTGCTGAGTATTTGTGCTCACTACACAATCACTCAGGACATTCAAAGTTTACATTTTTTTCTTTTTCTTTTTTTTCCAAGACAGGGTTTCTTTGTGTAGCCTTGGCTGTCCTAGAACTAGCTCTGTAGACCAGACTGGTCTGGAATTCACAGAGATCGGCTTGCCTCTGCCTCCTGAGTGCTGATATTAAAAGTGTGTGCTACCACTGCCTGGCTAAATTTAAATTTTTTTGAGTGCAGTGAAGCATGGTCTTTCACATTAGTTAGCACTAACACCTATAGTCACTCTCTGTGGTCCATCAGATACATTTAGAACAGGAGCTACAGGCATGGAAATCATGCACACTTGGGAAAAAAAAACCCTCATTTCAAAATTTCCATTCTAATAGCATCAACTAGGTCTCTAAAGCCAGAATGCCTGGACTGTGAACTGACAGAAGAAAGTAAGTTCTAAGTATACTAGCTTACAGTTCCAAGTGAGAGAGCAGATTGCAAAAACAGAAACAGCAATGCACTATGTACATGCATGCGTGTGCCAGTGTGCACATGGATCCAGAAGCCAGAGGTAAACCCTGGTTCATACCTTCTGAGACCAGGCCTCTCTCTGGGGCTCATGGATTCAGATTAGAGTCCTCAGGTTTTCAACAGACATTTTGCTGACTGACCTATCTCCAGACCCACACTGTGTTTTCATTATATAAATATATGTATATAATGCACAGTGCTACTCATAATAAAAATAAGGGACCCTTTTGCTAGCTTCATACATTTCTGAGATTTCTTAAAATTTCCATCACAAGAGCTGGGGGGTATGGATCACTTGCTCAACACGCATGAAACACTGGGTTCATAATAACAAAAATATTTTTAATTTTAAAAGGGCTAAAAAAAATCAACATTTCAGCCAGGCATAGTGGTACATGCCTTTAATCTCAGCACTTGGGAGGCAGAGGCAGGCATATATCTCTTTGAGTTCAAGGCCAGACTGGTCTACAAAGCAAGTTGCAGTACAGCTAGGGCTGTTATACAGAGAAATCCTGTCTCAAAAAACAAACAAACAACAAATCAAGATTTTAACTGGTACTCTTCAAAGGCTAGTATATTATCACTTGATTAAGAAGTAAATAGAGGGGCGATGGAGGGAGGGTGGAACATGTCTTTAATCCCAGCACAAGGGAGGCAAAGACAGGCAGATTAGACCTCTGAGTTTGAGACCATCTTGGTCTATAAAGTGAGTTCCAGGACAGGCATCAAAGCTACAGAGAAACCCTGTCTCAATGAACAACAAAAGAAGTAAATAGACAAAACAGCCTTCCTCAAATCTTTCCCTTCCATTTTTATAAATACACTTAAGAGAAACACATAATACAAAATGTACAGCTTGATGCATTTCAATTTTAAAAGGAATCCTACACCCACTGAGGTATCCATCTTCGTTGTAATAATTTTCTGATTCTCAAGCAATGTCTCAAATTAACTTTACAGATGACGGTAAACATTACCTAGCCAAAGACTCAACCGTAAAGCTAGAGGTGGAACTGACCATTTTTCTCAGGCAAAGACAAAGCAATAATGCTCACACGAACACCTGCCTACTCCGTGGTCAAACTGCACTCCAATCTCAATACCACTTCTTGCCAACCTTACGAACGGTCATAGTGTTATCACGGGGTAAACGGGGCAAGCAGGTGGCAAGAGCGTGGCTGCAAAAGACTTGACGCAGTTCAGGTGACAGCCACGAAGTCTGAAGGAGCCTGCTGTGCAGACAAGCACACCCGGCGTAGGGCTGGCCCTTCTGCTAACCAGAAAGGGTAACTTTGAACATTCTGACTGCAAAGGTTAAAGCCGGCTCTCCCAAAACAGTACTGAATCAATTACAGTTACACTCCCCACCTACGCTATTTGTTCCACCTGCAGTCGATGCCACAGAAGCTACGAGACGGAGATAGAGAAAAGAGATAAGGCGCAGAGAAGTCGGGACCCCAAGACCACCCCACTCACCCTGGAGCTCAGGTCTGCCCTTCCGAGGTTCCTGCACCCTCGGGTGCCCAGGCCTCCCTGAATCTAGAGGCCCAGAGTCAGGGATCCCTGAAGGTTTCAACTGCGCGTCGCCTACGGAGCTGAATCCCGCAGAGGCCCGCGGTGTGTGTGTGTGGGGGGGTGGGGGGATGAAGGATGCAGCCAGGGGCAGATGTCGGGATCTCAGCTTCGCAACCCTCAGCCTGTCAGTCCCCGGCCCTTCCACCGAACCTGGACCCCGAGCCTTCTCGTCCATCAAAAACCTCCAGCTCGGTCCACTCCATCCCCGACGCGGAACGAGTCCATAGGGACAAGGACCCCCCCCAACCCCACCCGGGAGGATGACTCCTGACCCCTTCTCGCGGATAGGGATCCTGGGAGAATAACCAAGGACCCTCGGTCCATCAAGATTCACTGCCCTGCTTACTCTGTGATGAGCCCACCGGGATTAAGACCCTGGCCTCTATACTGAGACAGGGTGACAAGGAAAAGTGACCACCCAGGAGGGTCATAATCTTGCGAGAGACTGACTCCGGGAAATTTGACTCTAAGAGGGTGACCCTGGAGGGTAGGATATTATAATAACCCACGAGAGGGTTATTAGGGTGATTACCCTGGAGGGTGGCTCCCAGAAGGGTGACCCCGGACCCTGCGCCCATCAGGACTCCCAGCTCTGACCTGACTCGCCCACGCGGGACCTGTCCCCGCGACCAGAGTCCAGCGGCTGAGGGGGTGAGCTGGGTGCCCACGGCGTACCTGGCGGCTGCGGTCCCCCAGGGTTGTCCGGCTGCTGTGCGCCCGATGCCACGAGGCTCTTGCGCTCCTTCTGCGACTCCCTGCGGCCGGCCGCGCCGGGTCTGTGTCCTGAGGCCACAGCCGGGCTCCGGCCGCCGCGGTGCCCGA